AAAGAACGCATAATACTTCCACCACTACATATAAAACTTGGGCTATTCAAAAATATCGTCAAAGCGTTGCAAAAAGAAGGGCAGGCATTCCAGTACTTGAAATCAGTATTTCCAAATTTATCTGACGCAAAGATAAAGGAAGGTGTATTTGTTGGCCCACAGATCAAAAAACTGCTCAATGATTCCGCATTCAATACAGTTTTGACACCAGATGAGGAAGAAGCGTGGAAATCGTTCCAGCGTGTTGTCACAACCTTTTTAGGAAATTTCAGAAGCCCAGATTATGAGGAAGCCGTCGATGAATTGCTCAAAAATTATGAGAAAATAGGTATAAATCAAAAATATTGTGTTTGATACACATAATTAATTTCAAATCCTTTTATTTCACTGAACACAGGTGTGAATATGTCTTTCAAGATACATTTCCTACATTCTCACATGGATTTTTTCCCGGAAAATCTTGGTGACGAGAGTGATGAGCACGGCGAACGTTTTCACCAACAAATGAAGATGATGGAACGTCGTTACCAAGGGTTTTGGGATGAAGCAATGATGGGTGACTATTGTTGGTTTCTGATTCGAGAAACAAGTTCAAAACATCGAAGACAAAGTCATTCGATTCTCAATCATTTTTAATAAAACTTAAATAAATTTCTTTTGTATCAACTCGGTTTTAAATCCTGATATGCCTTAATCAAATTGATATGTAGAGAAAAGAATCTCCCATGAAAACTTTACATGCGATTTGGATGCTTACAACGACACTTAGAAAAGGAACTCTAAAGCTGTTGTATTTCAGCAACATTTTTAAGTGTTTTACAAAAATGCTCATAACTTCGACAATTTCCAACCGATTTCATCCATTAAAGGCTCATTTTCTCCGTTTTTGAATGGACTTTAAGAATAAATTATGGAATGATTTTTTGAATCTTTTTATCCCATTAAAATGTTGATTAAAACAAGTTTTTTATGGAAAATTCGCAGGAAAAATAAAAAAAAAAATATTCTAATATTCTAGTGAACGATAGCAAATTTATTTAGCTTCATTTTCTTTAAAAAAGATTTAAAACTGTTGAACTAGTTCCAAAGATATTGACATTTTAGTAATCGTACTTTTGTCCAAAATTCAAAAAATCTAAAATTTTGTATATATCTAAAAATGGCGCTACTTTAATTTTTTCTGACCACGGCATTGAATTCAGCGTAGGATTTTGCATTGGAAATGATCATCACCTTACCGAGTTCAAAAATGCTGTAAACTAGTGATATAAGCGGAATCCTAACCTCTCCATCCAGGACGTTGCTGGCAAGCTCAATGTCTCCCAAACTACTGTGCAGCGGGCCAAGAAACGAGCCGGGTTGTCGACGTTTAAGAAGGTGAAGGTGGCGAACCGAGATTACAAACAAAACACGAATCTGCTCACAAAGTTCGACTGTGTCGTCATGGACGACGAAACTTATGTGAAGGTGGATTTGAAGCAGCTTCCGGGACAGGAGTTTTATACCGCATCAGGAAAAAGGAAGGTGGCTGAAATTTTCAAAACCATCAAACTATCGAAGCTTCCGAAAAAAAAAAATCGTCTGGTAGGCCATATGCACGTGTGGTCTAAAAAGCGGCATTTTCATTAATACGGGAACCATCAATCAAGAGATCTACGTCCAGGAGTGCCTGGAAAAGCGGCTGCTACCATTCCTAAAGCAACATAATAGACCTGTGCTGTTCCGCATTTCAGTCTTTAAATACTTATTATTGGCATAAATTTGTAAATTTTCAGAAGGCACGTATATTTAATAAAAGTAAAATGTTTAGTTTTACCATACAACATGATGAATTTGAAAAAAAAAACGTAGTAGTTATCAGTTTTTAAAGTCATTAATTTCATGAGTTTATTCAAAAGACTTTTCTACGATTTTTCAGTCCAAATAAAAACATTATTTTTTTCGCATCATTTCATGAATGCATTTATGTGGTTAACTAGAATGTCGTTCACATGTATTCCAAAACATCACTGTACTGTTTTAAATATTTCAGTAAAACATTTCAGTTATGTCAGTCAAAGTCTCATTTGCAACTTGTGTCAACAGAATATCATGTTACATACAACTGATTTACAACACCTTTTCCAACAAACGTAAGTTGCAAAGAGACTCCATGTTCTGCGCTTTTTAAGGTACAATGAAGTTTTAAATGCGATGCGTTATTCGTAATTTAGACCTTCATTTAGTCACACTAAGGTTGCTGTTGTTACTCGCTGAGAAACAAATGGTCATTAGATTATTACGTTACCTAATTTTGAAAGTGTCCGTCCAGTCCAAAGAAACCCTCCACGATGGTAACTCTTTGAATTTTCAAATAATGATTGATCAAACAAAGCTGAATAAAAAACAAAAATCACAACTTCAGAAAACTTTCCACCTCGAAGATCAGGTGCACATCTTCTTCTATCAACGTGATTAGATCTTCAACCTTGAATATTCAATTGATCACATTCCGTGCGCTTCAGAGATCCAACATCTTGCGCTGACCGTAATCTACTCCAATCCCAGAAACCTAGTTTCACCTCATATTTACTTGCAGCCGTCATCGCGAATTTCCCATCTACGATGCCTACAGGTACCCAGCTGTGACTTGCGGAGGCCCGAAGAGAGCTGATTCATCGATTGGCAGGCAATAAAAAATATGTCCAATAATAAAAAGCTGCATACAACCGTTCGGTTGCTTGGGCACATTACTGGAATCGGCGCGCAACATGTCATCTTCAATTGGCCATATCCAAGTGCAATCGTCTGCTCGCGCCCGTAGATCTGAATGTGGATAAGCTCATGGGAAGAGAGGCTGTATTCTCTCCCCGTTCCCTTTCGCTCAGCAGAAGCCGCCTCCATTATATTGTGTAGGTACCACCAGCTGTTTTCGATCGACAAGGGGAAAAGATCGCCAAGTCATCAGGCATTTGTCGATATAAACCAGTTGACAGGTGACTTTATGCTAATTTTCAGCGTCTCACCCCCGCGATCAGCGGGGTGTGCATCGGGAATGATTTCATTTTCTAGCTGTTTAGAAAATCCTCCGGTAGATTTTCTTGGTTTCTTTCAGCTGATGCAGCAGGAGAAAGCGTTTGTCAGGTTTTCAGTTTATGACAATCGCTTTTAAACATATGGCTGCCTATCTCAATGAGATGGAGCTCTACTTGTATGTGATCGAAGCTTTTCTTCGATGTTAGGAGTTGTTTTGTTATTGTTTCGGTTTAACTGGAAGATTTGAGTGTGTATAAAGAACGTCTTTGGTCCTGGAAAAAAAAAACGGGACACCTATAAAGTGACACCTCTTTTGAAACCTGGCACCTGGACGCAAAATATTTCATCAGAACATAAATGTACGTCTTTTTTCGCTGATTTGTATAAGTTGATGACATTTGGTGACTAGTGCTCAAAATGGCTACAAAATATGAAGAGTCACTCATAATTATTATGAGCTATCATACACAAAATTCTGAGATCTGGTCTAAAACACTGCGTTTTTTTTTTTTCTAGGGCAGACAAATTTAATCGCATTTGACTATAATGTGATCCCTTGAAATCTAAAATATAAGAAGTGTAGAGCGGGGCTAGTTGGTCAGTTTTCAGAACAAAGTTCTATGACTTTTTGTCTTATATAATAAATATTATTTGTTAACTGCAGCAGGAGCTTGTGTTTTGTATAGAAGAAGAAATTTTAGCGGGGTTCTTTCTGGTTATGCTCTTTAGTATGACTATGATTGCCCTGAAAAGAACCTTTTGATATGAATTTTAGTTGGGACATGTTCAGACATTTAACTCTTTTGGAAAATCTTGGTGGTCTTGAAAAGGGCCGATGGTAGTACAGGCTTAAAGTCTTTTGGAAGAGGATGATGACGTGTAGGCAGCTGGATCACTCACAAGAGTCTCGGCCCGTCTGCTGCTGGACAGAGGTTGTACTGGTATCTGCTTGTTCAGATAAATTAGTACTTTTATTTATTTTCTCTACTGCGCTCAATCAAACAAGTAGAAATAAGAAGGGATGTCGGACGCGCTCGAATAATTGAAAATTCGATAAATATTTAATCGAATAGCTGGAAAAATCTTTACGATTAATCGTTAATCGAATAATTGGACTTTTAGACATCCCTAGAAAATAGTGTAAATTCATGTGTTTTGCTGGTCTTTCGAAAATGTCGAACAACAGAATTGCAACCAGCAAGTGTAACCCAAGAACCAAAAGTGGTGCGATGCTAGTTTTCATTGCTATGACGACGACTGAATTAAGGGGCTTAGAAGCAGAGGGGTGAAAAGATTGAAATTGTCCAAAGCAGCCTGTCCAGTCCAAAGAAACCCCATCACGACGGAATGCATAATTGACCAGAAATAAATTATATTCCAGATTTAAAATCAACCTGTCAAAGTCAATCTGTCAACCTGTCATTAACAAATCAGCTTAGTAGTATTCACAAATCTGTACCGCCCATAAATGCTATAATGCATCCTATAAAGAAGAGCTCATTGCGATTATAACCTGAATGCATCGAACTCACTTCACCATAAGACTTGATTTATACAGACCACCTTGGCTATGGATTAAACTACTCAAAGATATACTGTATACGACTGTTTGCTAATACCTTTCTTTCCCAACTGCCTTCCGTCCGTTCACTAAAAAAAACAAAACTCTGAATGCGATCGTGAAACATGATAAGGATAAGATGCTTTCAATTGTGGAATCAATTGACCAACGGTAGTGTGCCACAGGAAAGCGCACTTTCCCCTGATTTTCATCCGGTACCGAACGGATGCGAGATATTTTGTGTCACTATAGCAAAGACCATCAGGTCAACAACGTGATATGTTTAATACGTAAGTAAAGAGACGCGAATGAATGCTGATAAAGATTGCCTATTCGCATCTTTGGACATTGATAAAAAAAATGTAATCAATCAAAGCAGTAACACTTACTTCACACTGACATGTAAACCATTCAATAGACCAGTTCTGGGTCAGTCTGTGGCGATCCAGCGAGATGCAGGCAGCATTTTTATTAGCTTTGGTTGGCAACGCTTTGCTGGTGAGTGGCCAGTTCGATCCTCATTGGTGGCCGGGTCGTAGTGGCATAGTTCAGCTATTCGAGTGGAAATGGAACGACATCGGAGATGAGTGTGAACGTTTTCTTGCTCCGATGGGTTTCGGAGGAGTTCAAATTTCACCACCTACGGAAAACTCTATCATTTTGGATCCATTTCGCCCCTGGTGGGAAAGATACCAGCCAGTGTCTTATTATCTGAATACCCGTTCCGGTAATGAGGCTGAATTTGCACAGATGGTGCGTCGCTGCAATGCAGTAGGAGTTCGAATTTATGCGGATGTGGTTTTCAATCAGATGGCTGCAACTACCCAACATGGCGGAGGTGGCGGATCAACAGCAGATGTGACTCGTCTTAGTTATCCAGCGGTTCCATACAATGCATCGGACTTCAACGTCAATTGTCAAGTTGATGATAAAAGCAATCCAATTGAGCAAAGAAACTGTCGCCTGTATGGTTTACCGGATCTAAATCAGAAATCTGAATGGGTTCGAGATAGAATAATGCATTTTTTGAACAAATTGATTATCTACGGAGTGGCAGGCTTCCGTGTGGATGCAGCTAAGCACATGTGGCCAGGAGATCTGCAAGCGATATATAGTAGCCTTTCCAATCTCGCCCAGAACCATGGCTTTCCTCAAAACGCACGACCTTTCATCACTCAGGTTGTAGTGGACATGAGTGGTGATGGTATTTCCAAGCACGAATACACCGCTCTTGGAACCATCACTGAGTTCCGTTACTCTGATACAATTGGATACATTTTCAGTGGACAGCAGCGTCTATCTGATCTTAGCACCTGGGGACCAGCCTGGGGATTCCCTCCTTCTGAAAGAACACTGGTTTTTGTGGATAATCAAGTAAACCAAAGAGGCCATGGCCCAGGTAAAGGTCACGTTTTAACTTACAAAGATGGTAAAAACTACATAATGGCAACGGCATTCATGTTAGCTCATACTTATGGAATTCCAAGGGTTATGAGTTCATATAACTTCAACAACGGGGACCATGGACCTCCATCAGACTTAAATGGTAATATTATTTCTCCCACAATAACCCCAGATGGGTTATGCGCAAATGGTTGGGTCTGTGAGCACCGGATGAATCCGATAGCGAATATGATTGGCTTCAGAAACGCTGTCGCTGGAACGGAAATAAATTATTGGGTAGACAACGGTAGATATCAGGTTGCGTTCTGTCGGGGGAATCAAGGATTCATTGTTTTCAACCTAGAAGTAGCGGATCTAGATCAAATTATGCAAACATGTCTGCCGGCTGGAAAGTACTGTGATGTGATCACTGGAAAAGTGAATGAAGGAGTTTGTACCGGGTATACAATTGAGGTTGATACAAACGGCCTTGCTAGAATATATGTTGCTGCCTTTGGAGGGTACGGTGTGTTAGCGGTACATGTTGGCGCTAGAATACAGTGATGAAATGGTGCTTGGCATTCATAATAGTGAAGGTAGCTTTATCGAAAAGCGTTTGGTACGTCTTTAAATTTTTAAGTTCTTATGCTAGATGTATGTTACAATTGACATGCGATAATAAAATAATATAAAACAGCAGTATAAAATATAAATTGTTTTAGTTTTTTTTTTACCTTTTCTCCTTCGAGGCTATAGCGTCCCAAGTAACCAAGAAGTCCGCTATTTGCCTCATAAATGCCCTTATTTCAATATATGGTTAATACAGTGCGTGTCAGGGTAATAGAGCCACTTGAAATCTGAATATACCAATTGATAGTGGTTTTGAGATATTGAAGAATATGTAATATTGGATGTCACTGATGAATTTAACCTCAAAATTGCGCAGGATTTGTTTCACAAAGTTTTTCTAAATTTTCAACCACCATAATAAGTATCTTCTAGACTAAACTGATGGCACTTAAAACTCAGGACACCACAAAAAGGTCGAATATCTATATCTCAAGCAATAGAAATATTTTTACCCTTCTTAAAAAAGAAGGTTATGCATATCGCTTGGAAAATCGACTCTCGATCCGATGCCTGGAGGGTTGAGTGTCATACACCAATCGAGTCAGCAAGTCAGGAAAATGACTATGTGCATGTTACGAAAAAAATCTATTACGTGTTTTGCGGCAACCACTGAACGAAATCGGACGCAACAACAACCAATTGACCAATTGACCAACAAAAAAAAAACGCCTTTTGAAGAAACGACTTGTTGACGATTTAATTCAACTGCATGTTTAATAATACTTGTACAATTTTTATTAATAACTTCTGTTCAGGCTTTGTTCATACAAATCTGGAGAATTTATTCAACCACAACATGGTGTTGGTTAAGGTATGTCGAGAAGCTTTTATTCGACTTCCATGAGTTGTACTCTGTAACATTCTTATTTTTTTTATTATTCAGCGTTTATTGGACATTTTAGCTTCCTTAAACAGCGATGATGTAAACGTTTAATTATCATGTGAAGTAACGTTTAAATTAGACACAGTGAATCCAAAATGACTAACCAGTATATGACAAACATATGATCATTGTTTTGAAATTTCATCACAAAAAATGATATATCTTTATCATTGTTGCAAGCTTGACGCAATAATGATAAATAACGAGGTTTTTTTTATCATAATACACAAAATGTATCACATCTCATTGTTGCTTACGAAACATATAAAGGCTTTTTAGTAGAATGCTTTGTACGCGACAGAAACGAAATTAATCATGTCACATGTTGCTCTTGCCGAAAAGAGAAGTTATTTATAGCGAATTCGTTTATTATTCAGTTCCAACCTGGATCGGGTATCAAGATTGGGTCTGCTTGTTTTCTGACAAACGTCAGTTTGCTCGTTTGTTTTTAAAACCTAGCTCAGATTGAGGTTCACACTGACAAAAAGTTCGGTTTCGCACTGGGTTGGAACTGGTGTTAACCCCGATAATAAACGAATTCGCTATTAGTTATTCCCCCTTTGATGTGTCACTTTTCATTCTCCTACTACTATCAGTTTTGTTTTATCGAGTCGAGTCGCAGCCTGCTTTTCCTTTGCTCCCTATTTCAGTTGCTTATATACTGTTCGTGAGTGTAGACATTGTAAAACCATGAGTGCGTCGTTCAGAGACGAAAAATCAAACGTATCCGAAAAAGTTCGTTCGGTATTCGTGTTGGAAGATGGTGCATTTAAGTGCAGTTTGGGCACCAACTGTAAGTTCTCGCCCAAAAATATCATTGTGTTTTCTGTGCTGAGCACCAATGCTACCGAAGCCAGAGAGGCAGCTCCCACACCTGGGCCCTACCTATAGAGCCATCAACTCATGAACTGGGGACCAACGGCTTTACTACCCTTCCGAAGGAAGGCGTGATCAGAAATGTTATGTTTCAGAACACTCCGGCGGCGCAGACTGGGATTGAACCCAGGCCTGCTGGGGTGAGAGGTAACCACGCTTATCACTACACCACTACACCACGGCGCCACTTGTCGCATTATTTATGAACGGCCCTTATATTTAAAATGACGTTTTACATTCATCTAGTGATGTCCGATTTTTATTCGAATAATCGATTAACGAACCGAAAAGTAATATATTTGAAATTGGTTATATCATGCTTGGTAGGTAAGTAATTTCTTATCCAGAGGATCATCGCCCATTGTTTCAAACATGTTATGCACTCTCATGGGTGGAAAATAAACTGTACAGCGAACGAAAAATAATCCTTTAGTTGTTAATCGCGTAATTAAAAAATGGGACATATCTGATTTTTAATGTGCTTGAAAAAGCGCTATACGTCAACTCTTCCGACGGGGCAGTATAACCAAAAACACCTACGAAGGGTATTCATTTGATGAAAGGGACCGTGAAATGCATAGGTAGAATAAGTTTTTAGATTCGTGGCAGGAATACACATCATGACTTTACTAACATAGCTGAAAGTCACGTACTACTTTCATATTGAAAATAGCGATCTAGGTCAGTCATTAATTTATTAATGAAATTAATAAAAACACATGATTCAATGGAGATGCATTGTACTTTAAATGCATAAACATAATATCCCGATGTGACATGATGTTTAAAAAATTATATCTAAAAAAATTAAAAAGAATGGTATTAATATGCTGGTATAAAATGGAAAAAAATATGACATTTCCAACAAAAATATAAAAAGGGAGGTTCTTTGTTCTCAACACCGTAAACACCACAAAAAACAAATTTACTTTTTGTTTTGGTACATTGTAACTTGTATGAACGTCCCGTTCGTATTTTTGTGAATAGCGCAATCTAATAAATATATTTTGATGAAGAAAGATCTAAAATCGGCCAGTAGTTAAAGAGTTGTGAATTTTTAAAGTTGGCTGTATGGTCGAAAATGACATTTTTTTCGATTCACCCTTACTCACGAAGGTGCACCCTAATGGCAAAAAAAAAAATAAAAGTTCGGGTATAATATTTTTAATTAGGAACAAGGGCACAACGTTTGAATGGAATCTGAGTAATTTTTTTTCCCGATACGTCTTTTTTCGAGGAATTGCTGAATAGGGGAAATGTCTCTAATGTTGGCCTATGGATCTAAGATTGGGCCCATCGCTAAAAATCTGCTATTTATTAATTTCATCTAGATGAACGCGTTATTGGGACGTTATTAATGGATATTTTTGGTTGCTATTGAAAATTGAGTCGATTACTGAATTTATGTATAGGCCCAAATTAGGGACACTTAGGCCGACATTACCTGCATTTCTCCTATGTGTACAAAGCATAAATGCCATTTTCAAAAATTACACTCATACTGGTCTTCTCTCGTGAGGAAAATACTGGGTCTATCATACTGAAAATGTATGCCAAGTTTTATCCAAATCGAAGATGGTAGAGGAAATGGGTTTGCCGGGCTTCTAAAACAGCAACAGCAACTCGCAGAATTACCTTCTAGCAATGATCACTGTTTGTCATTTTATTTTATGTATCTGACAAAGCTTTGTTGCGCTCATTAGTGACTTGTAATAATGATAAAGCATTTTTTTGTTGCTGCTACATACCTACTAACATGCGTGTTGCAACATGCATGTGTGTCATCGATATATTCTCAAAACAGTCTGCCTCTCTCATATTGCCGGCGCAACATTTATTTTTCTCCTCCGAAACCTTGTTGTGTATAATTCAAGCTGGCACATATCGTTGTGTAGAACTGTAAGGGATAACAGCCCATAATGCACCCCTGGGGTAAAATGCCCACTTATAGAAAAACAGCGATAACTTTTCCTCAGATGCATTTTCCGGGTAACGGATTGTGTTTGTTTTCAACTAGAGGTTTCACAATTGATTCTTGATCATAAAATCATATTTTGACCTACTGATTCCCTTAGAAAATAGCATTTTGTGCAAAATATGATACAGTTGTTAAAATCGTCGACTTAAAATTAAGCTTTTAACAGCATATATCGAAAAAAATTGAACTAATTCACTTTTCGTATTTTTTTAGATGTTTTACTTAATGAATCACAGCTTAACACTCTATTGCGACCTTATTTCTGATGTAACATAAAAGAATAATCATCAGGCGTCAGATCACCATGAATCAGGCGTTTTGCCCCGCTATCATATTGGAACCAATTTATAAAATACCTTGAAAATCATGAAAATGCATCGTTCTAAAGGGTGATACGGTCAAAATTTGGTCAATATCAACTTGACGTATTTTTTTCAATTTTGCATTTAAAAAACCTGAACACCCCTCATTTTGAAGGTGTGTGTGTGTAGAATGTTGCTCCTATTTTGATTTTGGAATTCACTCTTCAGTTGTCAAAATGCCGTCCAAGCAAGAAGAGCAGCGTATCAAAATTTTGCTCGCGCATCGCGAAAATCCGAGCTACTCGCACGCAAAGTTGGCAAAATCGCTAAAAGTTGCCAAATCAACCGTTACAAATGTAATTAAAGTGTTTGGGGAACGTTTGTCGACAGCCAGGAAGTCTGGATCGGGGGGAAATCGAAAACCGGAAGCCGCTGAGACGACAAAGAGAGTTGCCGGTAGTTTCAAGCAAACCCTAACCTCTCTCTCCGAGATGCCGCAAATAAGCTGGGTGTATCGTCTACAACCGTGCATCGAGCCAAAAAACGAGCCGGACTATTGACTTACAAGAAGGTAGTGACTCCAAATCGCGATGATAAACAAAATACGACGGCCAAAGCGCGATCCCGGAGGCTGTACACGACGATGCTGACGAAATTTGACTGCGTGGTAATGGACGACGAAACCTACGTCAAAGGCGACTACAAGCAGCTTCCGGGACAGGAGTTTTATACGGCAAAAGGAAGGGGAAAGTTAGCAGATGTTTTCAAGCACATGAAACTGTCAAAGTTCGCAAAGAAATATCTGGTTTGGCAAGCCATCTGTACCTGTGGCTTGAAAAGCAGCATTTTCATAGCTTCCGGGACTGTCAACCAAGAAATTTACGTGAAAGAGTGT